AATTTTTAGCGCCATTAGAAGCATTAACAGAAATACACTAGCTAAGGTTGTACCAAAAACAGTCACCAATTGTCAAAAATGTCTGGATGCAAATGGACGTTATTACAATTGTAAAATGTTTGTTTGTTCAAGTGTAAAATAAATTTACGACGATTCTTCTTACTTGATTTTTTAACACACTCATAGTTGGGAATTTGTCCCAAGACATTTGACTTGTTGAGAAGTTGAAATTAGTATTAGTATTCTATTGAAAATTCAAGGTTTTTATGTGTTCTTTAACCACTCACTCATTAATGTTATTTTCTGACAAATGAATCATTGTCTCCTTAGAAAAAAACTAATACATAACATTACATGTGATGACATTTCGGTGATACTCAAATCTTTTATGCACTTGTGAGACATCACGACTGGAAATTTTACGCTCTTTTCAAAAATATAAAAATACAATGTGGCGGCTTTGAGAAAAATGAAAGTTGAGGCGGGTTGATGGAAAACGATAAACGATTCAGACATGTCCTACTTGCTATCTTATTGTTCTTAAAAAAATGTCCGAATAATCCCACATTTTGACAGCTGTCAAATTAACAGTTTTGGATTTACTGGCAAAAAACGAATTTTCATAACCAACTGACCGATCGTAAATCTGAAGCAGTCTATCGGAAGCACAAGGATTCCTCTAAAGCTTTCCCCATTTAACATTCGCTGTAGGCGCCAAGATCTCTGTATAGAGAAGCGAATCTGAGACACACTGTATGAACTTGTGCATACAACATCCGCGATTCGCTCATGGTATTGCTAAAGGCAGTAACTTCATTCAGGCTTATTACCTTGTGAGAATTAGTAAAGATAGTAAAGCATCCCCACAATAATCAGAATAAGTGTCCTAAGCTTGTGCAGGGAACGTGAATAGGGCGATAGTGCAGTTATACACGTACTTTGTGAATGCTCAAGTCGTTTATCGATAGGAGATCTTTTCTGCAGAAGCCTATGGCTCATATCAGGAAAACTCGCAGTTAGTGCTACCACGCTCCCCAGCTGCCTGAGTTAGCAATGGTCCAGCCTTGAATATTCCCTAGCTAGCGAACTGAATTAGGGACCCCGAAAAGGCCTAAATGCTGTTATCTCCACTGATTACCCTTTCATGCATAGAGGAAATACCAGCATTCTTCCATAATATGCGTTCACAATAGGCAACTATCGGTCTGGACCAAAAATACCGTTTTAGAAGGAGTCCGTCTAGTACTTCTTAGATATCTCTCTATTTTCACACTGAGCGATCGGCATTTTTATTATGGGGCTGAATACTTTATATTATATAAACATTGAATTAGTGCTAGTGGATATAAAGTGATCCTTCAGATGTCATAAAATATATTATATATATATACAGGGTGACTTCGAAGTTGAGTCATTTATTTTAACAGTGAGTAGATCTGATCAAAAGAAATGTTTTTTTCCTTTACCATTTTTCTGGTAAAATTAAAGTAACAAAGTTATAGCCCTTTGGAAGTTTGAGTACCGCCCTGTCTCAATAATAATATCATGTACTCTTGTTTGGCAACAACGGATATAATCCACCTTATCGGTTCATCGCATGGGAAACAAAAAAGCGAAAGAATTTGGAACGACGTTTTTATTTCATTCAGTTCAGTTATACATACATTCAGTGTCAGTCGCGTGTGAATAGTGTCTGTTGCGTGGCTCAAACGAAATAAAAAATGGCACATGTTTATGCGGATCGGTTTCCCAATCGAGTGCAACCAACCCCTCGTGCCTTTGTTAATGTAGTACAACGGGCTCGTGAATCAGGTGACTTAAGACCTCACAGGGCACCTCACGATCAAATACAGGTCCGCACTGAAATACTTGTTGGGAGGATACTTTATAAAACAAGGTAAAATTTTTTTTTTATTTTTACACACATATTTTGGTTTATCTTCCTTCTACAATCATTATCTGAAAATTAATGACTCAACTTCAAAGTCACCCTGTATATATATATATAAATAACTTGAGACGTGGTCATTGTCGTCTAGACCAGTTAGGTGAAAAATTAAAGCTTCCGCCTTTTGTTGGGTACTTCGACAAAATTTAATTAATAAATAAATTTTGTCGAAGTACCCAACAAAAGGCGGAAGCTTTAATTTTCACCTATATATAATATATGCCTAACGTAGATATTTGACCTGCAACCTGACTCCATATCCCGTGGTTCACAAACTTACACAAATCAGTCATCATTAATGTATCCTAACCAGGTAACAATAAGCCTCCTTTTGACATTCACCCTCCTTAGACGACCGATATCAAGCTGTGAAACAGCGAAACCTACTCCTCATCTTAACCGGTTTGCAGGGAGTAACAGAAACAAAATACATACTCTCCAAAATAGTTGCCTAAAGTACAGTTACTCGCATAAGACTTGAGCGATTACCCCGCATTATGTATCGCTTAGCAAATTGGAGCACTATTCCAGAAATGAACCTCACCTTGCATGCTTTGTATATCAAATGGTTATTTATTTCATCTACTCCATCTTATTCAATAAAATTGTCAATGAGAAGAGTATATGGTCATAGTGCCAATTTCCTTCACTCTGTTCCTTTTATTATACGATAGCATCCTGCCTCGAAATTCAGATGCTTCTTCTCCTCTTGTCAATGACCACGCAGAAGTATTTATACCAAGCAGTATGATTGATTTTAGAAACAGCTACAACAAACTCCTCCTCTGTCAGCAAGAACGTAAGTTACATTGGTATATGTTTTCTTGTATAACTACCAACTATTATATGTATACTCAGTTTACTAATTTTATATTTTCATAAATTGTGAAATGTAAATTAATACAATCTCTTGTGTACTGACATGTGTTATGCGTGAATTGTGTACGTACATCGCCTGTTGCTTCAATATAAGGTTCAGTATATTTCAGTATATATTCAGTATATCATAGAGCTGACAAATACATCTTCTGTCTGTATGCAAATAATTATACTGATCTTGTTAATGGCCTGACTGAAATACGCTTTAGGAATATCAAGTACTTTTGTAGCAATCAGGATCTGTCCTCTCCTCATCTTTTTATATGTTAGTAACGATTGCATTTTATCCTGTTATATTCTATGACGCCCTAGTTGTATAATACCCATCGCAACATACCGTACATATTGTTTCTAACCTGAATGATATGCTCTATCTAAAAATTACCCTTTCTAAGGAACCAGCACAACGTCCAAATGTTTGACAGAATTAGGCTAGTCAGCCTATGTTGTATGTACAAAGCCCCACCTGCTATTCCCGCCAGCTGAGCATCTTGTTGGCTATCAGTTTGTTGCTGATAAAAATCTAAATCAGCAATAATCGTGATAATGTCAGGATACTTTCAGGAATCGGGTAGATTGATTATGAATTGGTCGCCCTAGAAGGGCAGTAGACCGCAAAGTGCTGAAACGTTCATATGAATGTTTGGTCGTTAGAAATAAACAGCACATTTCTGTGCATAAATCAACACAGTTGTGAACACTGTAGAATATAACAAAAGTAAACTCTAACGAGCGTCATTTCTGCGATAGCGGGTAAAAAATTACCCCATAACACGAACCGTCTTGCGTAATTTATTTTTGTCTCCAGCACAGAAATCAAATAAAATTTCCAGCTAGTAGCGGGGTGCTTTCTGTATTGTTAGATACCTAAATGGAATAACGTTGTATTATGAGTTTTGAAAAAAAGTAATATTGCCTTAATGCGTAGTCGTTATGTTTAGTTGGTTCCGTCGGTCTTTTTTTATTAATTTACGACGGAGGTTTCCATTTAATGATACTCAGGGCATCTACAATCTATCCATAAATGATGGTTTATCTACAGAACGACGGCAGATATGCTTGATGCATTGCCAGTGGACTGTTTTTAATACTTCAGGAGCTCGAGGTGTAAAAAACTGGTCATATTTTTAGTTTCAGTTTGAAAATATTCTTCACTTCGCCTATACTATACATAAAAATAGTGTAGTTGCAATAAAGTGGAAGCATGTAACAGAATGGTTGCATAGTTGACAAATATTGAATCTTGTACTGACGCAAAGGTTTTTTAACGCAAGCAAGGGTGTTCACAGTTTTTATGTATAACTGTGAGCCCTGATACATAAAACATCTTAAGTGCTTTATTAGGTGCGACTACTCCGCTTGTATAGCTGTCTTAAAAACGCTTTGCCAACGCTCATACAACTACAATGCTGTATAATAATACTGCATAAGGGTTCTTACAACCCTAACAGGAGTGATAATTGTCAGTTGCCTGTCATTGAGATCCCGTGAAAATCTTGACAGTAACGATAGCAGTGTTGACAGTGACCAAGTGCACAAAATTTTATAGGGAGTGATGTCGATTTCCCTCATTCATATAATGAACAGAATAGATGTGTACTGTGCAGTCAAAATCGCCTTTACTAACTTGTTTCTTGTGCGCCTGCTACAGGCATGTTGCCACACTCTCCTTTTGTAGTATCTTCTAAAGTATCTCACATGGAATTCAGTTGGCCTACTACTCAGCTCTTTTATATATCTTCTAAAGGCACCTCTCTAATTTAAAAATGCCGTATGCTAGCACGGGGTAGATTCACGCTTCAATTATTTTCTCTCTCTAACTTCTATCAAGCCTCCTTTATGGGTGGAAGCCGGCTTCTAAATTCTTGATAAGTTTCAGACTCCAATCCTTGTGATGGGCTGCAGGACATTGTGTTCTCTAATACTCTGGCTGACAGGACTAAATAGACAGGAGTAATGTGACTGGTTTGTCATGTAGCCTCTGCAATATTTTCTGTTCTAAATTTGTTACCCCGATATTATAGGGATTTTTTAGTATTTCCCAAACTTCTTCAAGCAGATATCGAATGAGCGTGGTAGGATTTGTTTAAAAAAAATGACAGACGTGTCTATCGGTATCACAATACATGAATCGATTATTTCAAGAAAGGCGATTTTTGCCCAATTATATAATCTACAAGGTGCTAAACTGAATACAGACAATTGCGTATGAAGTTAAAGCTGTGAACAAGGTGGAAAGAAACATTTGATTGATTGTGTAGAATCCAGCGGCTGAAAAGACTGGAGCTATCTTTTCGGAAATTACAGCCAAACTCTTGAATTCTTCTTTGACATAATGATTGCTGTTCTTGACATGGAGTGCGTAGCATGACTCTGTGAACCTTTTACCCTGCTTTACCGTAGCATCGCAAGATAAGACGATCAAGATCGTGAATGACTAAAACATAGAGACGAAGAAGATTAGTTCTCCATGGCCTTTAAGTCAAACCACATATATGTTGGCTGAAGTTTGCCCTAACATTTTGACCGCTTCAGAAAACATTCACAAAGTATTTGAAAAGGCCAGCGAGATGACCGGAATGTTAGTGAAAACTCAAGCCTACATACGCGGTTTCATTTAAGAACCAGAAAGCATGGCAATGCGTCAGCGTGAAAACAACAGGATATTTCAGATGTTACATTAAAAAAAAAAGGGTTTAGCAATTTCTCTGCAAAACCTACATAGCTTGTCTACTCAACGATTATTATCAGGAAACGGTGAGAGGAGTAGCAATTTACTTACTTCATTATATAGGAACATAAAATGTATGAATAAATAAACGTTTCATCCCACGGAAGGGCAATGCCTGTACGTGGATGAGTTTTATGTTGGAATGTAATTAAAAATAAAAACCATTCAGTTAAGAGAAACTTAAAGAAAAATTTTGTAAAGAACATTTGATAGGAATTCAATAATAAGTCTATAATACATGAAATGATTCAAGAGATTTTAGTGATATTAGCCTTGAACTGCTGAAGACTAGTATGGTTTTTATGCTCGAAATACTTTGAATAGAAAAGCAGTCGCATTTTTAAGACATGGGAATGAAGTTCAGCTTTAAGTTCAACCATAAGATTTTAAAAAAAGTATGTGATAAATAGTAATAATCCTGTATCCACTTGTGCTTACCAGATATATGCCTACGTACAGTACTATGGACAAAATCCTGTAGACAGTATCCTCATCGTTTCCTTGTGAGTTTCTCTCGAAGAACCACATGAGGCAGTTCAGCAGTGCAAAAGAAGTGTTCACTGTTGTGAGAAATATCATTGTTCCGAATATATCATTGAAGGCACCTACCATTATATAACACTTCTTGCATAAAATTTTTAAAACTCTAATATTTTTCGTCATAGCTTTTTCATCTCCGTCAGTATTTTTTGTGAGGTCGTCTAGGATTCTACCAACGATCTGGTATCTGGTTCGTATGATTTTCAATGTGAAGTTCACAAGAATCACTAATAGCATTTGGACTAGCATAAGCAACCTTGTGGCTATGTCGAAAGACGACTTTCTGTGGACGTAGAGCTTCCAAGCATTTAGAACAAAGTTTACTATTATAGCCGATGTCACTTTGATGATGTAGACGGTGAAGTTTTCTTTGGAAGTGTGGTCGCACCGTATGTTAAATGTTACCCTCCTGAAATGTTACGCAACAGTTATTTACCGGTTGAGTTGAAAGGCTGTTTATGGTTATAATTGCAACTAGAGCGACTTTGTTAGATCTGATAGTAGTGCTCATTGAGACTTTTCTTCTTCTTCCTATAAGATATGGAGTTCCATGTTTATGTATCAATACTGATATTATCCGTCCGACCACAGGCGACCGTGAACAGTCGTTTATTTTTTCTTATACCGAAGCAGCCGCGTAGGCAGAAGCCTAAATGCTATAGACCGCACTGATATGAGGATCCCAAAGATATTTTGTTAATCCGATTTTTAAACTTCTTAAGGTTGATAGAACTGGGAAAACCTTCCTCTTGTAGATTGTTCCACAATCTCGACACCCTCGGGACAAAGGAGCAACCGTATCGGATAGTTCTGGATGTACGAAGTTCGACACCACTAGGATGGGAGGCCGAAACAAATTTGCGCGGCGGCATCATGGAGGAGAGATCTGAGGAGCAAAGTCCGTTGGTGTAGCGGTGGAAGAAAGCTAGAACGCCTACGGCCCGCCGGTGCGAAAGGGTCCCGAGACTGACTGTTAGAAAAGAGTCATCGATCAGTCGGACAGCCATCCTCTGGACAGCATCGAGCATAAATAGTGTAGTCGGGGCGTCAGTACCCCAAACGTGTGAGCAATACTCGAGGCTATGCCTTAGTTGGACCTTGTATAGAGTGCGGAGGTGATGCGGAGAAAAGTACTTTTTAGCCCGAAACGAACAGCCTAGCTTTTTCCCAGCAGCTACCACTATTGATGAGATGTGTTCGTGCCAGATCAAGTTCTCGGTGATCTGGACTGGATCAACCGAAGTGAACCGAAGTGAACGGCGATTCATCGAAACCGGATGGGCGCTAGGTCGCTTTTTGTTCGTCAATGTGCAGTGCTGTGCTTAGGAAGCATTAAACTGTACAAGATTTTTGCATCACCAAGCAGTGATGACTTCCAGGTCTCTGTCTCGCCACTAGTCCTCTTTTTTTCCAGCTCAGCGGCAGAGATCGGCTTGTCGCTCTGAATTCCTGCATGTAGAGTGCTGCCATCAGCAAGGTTGTGGATTGAGTTGACCGCACAGGAAAAGAGGTCATCGATATGTAAGAAGAATAGTGTTGGAGCCAAGACTGATCCCTGGGGAACACCCGCGCTGACGTTCTGGGATGAAGAGGAGAACCCGTCAATTACGACAGATATCTTGCGGCCAGAGAGAAGGTCAGCTACCCATGCGCAAAGCGTCTCTGGGAGACCATGGGATCGAGGTTTGCTTAAGAGGGCTGCGTGCGTGCCACAGCTGATCAAACGCTTTCGTGATATCAAGAGCAACAAGATGAGCCCCACCATAAGACTTGATGAGTTTACTCCAAAATTGAGTGACGTAAGCTAGGAAGTCCCCTATGGATCTCTGGTGCCAGAAACCACACTGCCTGTCGCTAATCAAGACGTCACGTTCGAGGTAGTCCAGAAGTTCGCAATTTATGCACCTCTGATGCACCTTACTCATAACAGAAAGCAGAGCTATAGGCCTGTAGTTGTAAGGTACGATCTTAGATCCTTTTTCGAGGTGGGTTGGACTTGAGCAACTTTTCAGTTTTCTGGGAAGACACCGGATTTTCAAGATAACTGGAACAGACACAAAAGAACTGGAGCAAGCCCCGCTGCACACCACGTCAGTACAATGGCAGGAATCTAGTCCGGACCAGAAGCTTTGTTGATGTCGAGCGACAAGAGCACCCGTCTTAAGTGTAGGGAACTCTTTGAATCGACTGCACTTAGTAGTTTTGGGGGACTTCCGTGGTGGAGTTGACAGTAAAGTTCTTGAAAAGCACCTCCGCCTTAGCGTTTGAGTCTGTTACAATCGTCCCAACCTGGCACGTAAATGGTGGAAGGCAACTCTGTAAGAGGTTCCTTTCCATCTGCTTGGCTGCGACATTACCCTGTGCCTGACTATTATATCGTGCTGGTGTTTGGCATTGCGAACCGCTTCGTTACATTTGTTGCTGGAGTCGACGTGGGCTTGCCTGTTCCCTACAGTGCAAGAAGGCTCTGTGTGAATTGGTCTCCTGCTGGCGAGCAGTGTCACACGATTTGTTGAACCAGCCGTTGGACCCTGATTTAGGCACCATCACTGTATGGGGGATCTATAAGATAAGCGAAACAAACATCTCCAAGGAAAGGTAGGGAAGAAGTCTCTGAGCCCCTCCCGGTCGGCATGTCCGTAACGCCAAATTTTGCGGCCTGGGCGAGTTTCTGCTCCCACAGCTGGCGAAACCTAACCTCCATAACACCGTGGTCAGGATGCGTGTGAGAAAGGGATTCAGCAGGCTAGTGACATGTGGAGAGATGCGGGGGAAAGGTCAGCAGCTGGGTCAGCACTTGAGTAAAAGCGGACACTTCAACTGCACGACCTGCTGCATGGGTCTTGTTTGAGTCCAACAAAAGCTCATTATGGGGGTTGAAATCACCGAGGAGAACTACCTCGGAAGCTGGATGATTGCTGTTCAGGAACTCGATATAGACACCGAGCTGTTCAAGAATATCATCCCAGTTATGGTCTGAGGGAGAGCGATAATGGCAGCAAATAAATTTGGGGGATGTTTCGGAGTTTTTTAAGCCTCAGAATGTCCTTCCGGTCTGATTCCAAAGAAACATCTCTGGAGCAGGAAAGACTGCTACGGAAAAAATCCACAACTCTCCCGTTCTTTCTCAGATTGGAGTGCACCTCGTAATTTGGGAAGCTGAGATGATTAATCGGTGCAAACTCTGAGATTGCTGTATCCGCCAAGAAAAGCATGTCGGAACGATTGGATTGCAGCTGGTGGTGAACGGCATCAATGTTGCGGTTAGTCTCGCAGATGTTCGTGAAACAAAATTTATTTTTGACCCCACCAGGACATCCCGAGAGTGCAGTGAGTTCACGTCTTGGATTCTCAGTACTCCAGGGATTCATCATCATTAATTTCTTTGTTGGGGAAGATGACCAAATGAGTGGCTTAGGTGTGGCAACATGCGGACATTTATAAGGGTGAAGCTAGCGGGTGGTACCGCCTCGACCGGCTGGTCCCTGTCTACCACCTTCTTTTTGCGTGTTAATGATGTTAAATAGACCTGAAGCGGCCCGTTGGCGAACTTGTGCCGCCACCCAGCATTCTGTACTGAGGTATTCCTTATCACGTGTTCAATCATTTGAACGAGAAGAAGTTGTGTACTGAATACAACAACTTGCGGAACAAGCATTTGCCACGGCCTCCACTCAGAAAGTTGCTTTCTGACAATCACTAGCACGGTCTAGTGTTGGTTTCAGAAACGACAACCACCGAAAGGAGCTCAACTATCGTTTCTATTATTTTAAGGTATTAGGTACCGCATAGGTTTGCTTATATAGAAAAAAAAGGGTGTTTGTAGGATTGGTGAGGTGGACACAGTTGAAAATCTAGGCACCACTGGATGTTACAACTAGGCAAGTAGCTCACAGATTGATATGTTTAAGTCAAACGCCGACAGCATCGAACAGCATTTACGAGCAACATATGATGAGTGGTCACCTTGTAGCGTCTTACACTCGCCATAGAGGTGCCATGTAGGTCGATAGATATCTTGAACAGCATGCGCCAAGAAATGTGCACATCATCGGCTAATACTGTATAATCTGCAAAGCAGTACTACTCCTCACCGGTAGGGATTCTATCGCCTTATAAAAACTGGATGGGCCGACAGGATTGTTCTTGCCCTGGGATCACTTACTATATATCCAAGATTGGAATATTTAGCCCTGGGAGAACAAGCTTATTCAGAAGATAAGTACACAAACCTGCATTATTAGTTTAGCAGATCTAAGGGATGAGTATAGTGTTTGTCGACCTCAACCACTTTGAGCCTTTGATCTAAATGACACCTGATCAAATTCTCTGACAGTATATACAGGGTGTTCCATAATTATTGCGACAAAATGATAGGGGTTGTAGAGGGCATCAAAATGAACAATTTTGCCTTATAAACCCCTGTTCGGAAATATGCCGTTTGGGCTGCAGCAAAAAAAACAAGATCAGTTTCTTGAAACAGCTTACCTACAGTAATTGCTCAAAGTGTCCTCCACCTTGCTCAATACACAGCTGTGCACGATTGTTCAATGATCGGCGAACTCTGTGGCATACCCCCGGTATGTCCTGAACATGTGCGGACGCGACCATCACTCTTCCCAGTAGGTCTTGTTGGTTGGGAACAGGAGATTCGTACACTAAAGCTTTCAGATGGCCCCAGAGAAAATAATCCAGTGGGGTCAGGTCGGGTGACCGCGCAGGCCAAGGCACAGGGCCACCTCGGCCTATCCACCTATTTGTCGTCCAAATACTGCCGCACTTGTAAAGAAAAGTGGGCTGGAGCGCCATCGTGTTGAAACCACGTGTTGGCTCTTATGTTCAGTGGCACATTTTCTAATAGTTCCGGTAGCACATGCTGTAAGAATCGACCATAAGCATGCCCATCCAAACGTGGTGGAAGCAAATATGGCCCGATGATATGCTCGTCCACAATGCCGCACCAGATGTTAATTGAAAACTATTAAAATAACCGTCCTTTGTGAAACAGGACTCGTCAGTGAACAAAACGTAGCGACCAAAGTTTGGTTGCCTCAACTCCTGCTGCAGCCACCAACGACAAAAACGTCGACGCGGCAGATAGTTTTCTGGACCCATGGCTTGGACTTTTAAAAGGTGGTATGGGTGTAGTTGCTGGTCATGGAGAACCCGCCAAGCAGTAGTTTGAGACGCTTGTACGCGGATTGGCCTCTACATGATGCAGAATCGCTGACACGAAGACGTCCATGAATCCTTGCAAAAATGGCGTGATGCGGATGAGGACGTTCTGGAAACCGTTGGGCGTAGATTCACGAGGCTCGTCTTCCGTTACCACCAGCTTCTCCGTAAATTAAATGCATATCCGCAAGTTCCGCATACGAATAACGCTGCATTTTAACACTAAGGTACTGTTATTTACTATCTAGTTTGACGCACCACTCAGATAAATTAAATGAATTGGTGTGGAGAATTTACGATAACAAAAATGTAAACACAGCAGGCTTTTTTTTACAAATCGGCGAGACCATGAAATGTGCTAGACGAACATTTTGCAGCTGTTGAATTTTTTGTTTCTCCTATGAGCTCTTAAGGTAAAATTAGCGGTAGTGCTCAAACGGCATATTTACGAACAGGGGTTTATAAGGCAAAATTGCATATTTTTATGCCCTCTACAACCCCTATCATTTTGTCGCAATAATTATGGAACACCCTGTATAAATCGGCAACAACACTTTGAATTTTCTGTAATCCGTATTTAGTTATGTAGTCAAGTCATGGATAATAAATGATCAATGAATAAAACATCTTTGATAAAGCAACACTATCGAAAAGTTTTTTGTGGGTTTCAAGTGTTTGGATATACCGATTTAAGTATAAAAATTTTAGAGAGGCATATGTTGATTTGACACTGGAATTCACATATTGAGTGGAGCGGATATCTTTATCTACGTACTTATGCCCGACCAGGAAATTCTGTACCTTCGGAGCAAACTGCGTACCTCTTTTAGTACCCTAAATAGAATTCCAACACTACACAGTGATAAAAACAGCACCAGGTAAGGAGATGCTGCCGTGACCTCGAATTGGCCACTGTTTGAATAAATCTCAGATTCCTACCTAAATGCCCTGAGTTCGCCAAACAGCTTAATCCACTCTTCACTATTATTGATAGTCGAATAAAAACATGCCAGTAGAACCATATACTCAATGACTATTTGCATGTAGTCAGTTACATAGTAAGCCATTGAGTGTTTGCCTTCTAATGATTCTAGACTCCAGCGATTGTACAGAACTTGCGCTGCCCCAAAAGTCGATGCGACTGTTAGTATAGTAATCCAGATGTACTGGATGACATTCTTTCTTGCCCGCGATATCTAGAAGCATCATAATGGTTAGCACGGAAACGCTGTTTCTTATAAATAGATGTTAAGAGTTCGGTCATACATCATACAGTTATAAGAGTGCATATGTCCATACTCAACTTACGGTTGAGTCATTTTCTTACTTATATATATATATATATATCATATGCAAAGCAGTGGCTATTATAACACTTATTTCATTCCCAATGCTTATAATGCCAATTAATTATTATATTAAATGTATGACCTCATAGTGCAACCCTTTGCGGTCAGGTTGATCTTTTTATTTTGATATTGTTCATTTTGTTATAGGTTTACCGATACAGTACTAGTCAATACAAAATGACCCTTCAAACAGTTTGCAATATGTTATTTATCTCTAGTACTACAAAGTCGGCCATCACAGATAGCTAAACAGCAACACTGCCTTGATAAAACCTGCCTAATGAAGAGACTTGACTTGTTGGCTAACCCCCTATTCCGGTATGTTTTTTTTCCGAAATCTAATAGCTAGGTCCACATTTTTGCAATATACGTGCATGATACCGAGATAAAAATCAATTGTGATAACTTTGTTAGCTTCAAATGAGTGAGCAGCTAAACATCCTATGATCAACAACATCGCAAGTTGAAGGTTTTCACAAGATGGTATTTCCACCAGCTGAGGTATTGTGGAAACGTCTGAACACCATCAGGAGACAATTAAAATCAATTTATAGTCACGAATAATAGTAGTAATCTCAGTAGACCAGTAGACCGCAAATGATTAAGAGTTGAAGATTATGCAAGCCAGAGTTACTATGACTGATTACACCTACCTTATGATGCTTGTACAGAGGGCTGAAGTGAGCAGGAGCACCAGCAAAAAATGTCGCTATCTGACAATGGATCAGCAATATTTGAACATCTGCTTCATCAGGTAAATGCTGCTTCGCCATTTTTTTCTTTCCTGGGCTCCCACCACTGTTCACAAGGCAAATTGTGTTATACAATTCCATTACAGTAGTTTACTATACACTGTTGGTAATGAATTGAACATGCATATTTTATTTCACTTTTAACATATCAAACTGGTGTGTGGCGAAAAAAGCTTTTTTAACATAAGCTTTTATCTTAATGATTGGAATGGTTATAGTAGAAGCCTACTCATAATAGTGAGCAAAAATCGATAAGCCTACGCTCCGTAGCTTACACTGCCTTCTTTATGATCTGCAACACTGGGGCCATTTTCTTGATGTCTTAGATTGATTATACGACTTTGACCGTAGAACCCTTACTGACCCCTACAGTATAATGTTGAACAATGATTCAAGCTATAATCATCACAGCTTGTTTCAAGAGTAATTTATAAATAAATTAAGTAACTGGTATAATCCTTTTCTAAGAGCTTGCAAACTACAAAGCAACGTAGTGTGCACTAAACACGGGTACCCGGCTGGGGTCATATCCTGATGATTACACAAGTTTCAGTCGTATGTGGAAACCTACATATATCCACCAGAATACGGTAGCCAGGCTATAGTAAGCTTAACAAGGATTCAGTGAAAAGCTTTCTTCAGTGACCTAGCCAAGTACAAACGCTTTCTCTAAATGGATAGTTCATTTGGTAAGAAGTATCCCTCCACCCACCCAAAGAATTCGTACAGATCGCAGTAGATTCTTTATTATCAGACGAAACAAAGCTATAAATTAAACAGTATTCGTGCTAGCAGGCCATTCGTCTCTTTAGTATCGCACATAATGCATGGAAAGCCAGACGTTCACCTCTGACCGAGCTCACAATATAGGCTTTTTCTAATAAAAGAATCAATATAGGAACAAATACTGTGAGCAAAGTAATTACATCTGAAGTATCTGTAGATTCTAACTCTGGTGCTTATAAATATCTGAGGGTGGCTATCAAATTCGTCCAATCACTCGACTTTATCCTCGTGAACCTCTTGGGGAGCTCATACATTTTGAGTTCTACTGGCATTCTTTGACACCTCTGACTCTGTACAATCAACAATATAATTGAGCATAAGCTCTTGATGTTACAAAATGTTACAAAACACGGATACGGAGTTGGGTGTGAAGCCCCCCCTGCTGAATGGTGGAAGAGGCTGTCAAACGTCAAACTAACAATCCTTATGGAACTTAAAACAATCATCATTTACCATGTTTACAGCGTAGGTAACCAAGCGCTTATATGGCGCATTGTCCAGCATATCGTGTTGTATAAATGAGCACAGAGTAGCATTTACGTAAAGAACTATGTTGCTCTGTGGCTTTCTAAACGCTAAGCGCCCTACGGTGTAAACATGGTCACAATTGCCCACATGTTCATTACTAACATACGCATCGCAACTACAACATACTAAACTGAATACAAACAATAGCATATGATGTCAGAGCTGAGAAGAATGTGGAGAGAAACATTTGATTGACAACATAAAAACCAGCTGCAGAAAACCTTGGTCCAATCTTCTCCGACACTATCGCGAGACTCAGTAGCTCATCTCTGAGGTATACGTTCTGTTCTTTTGCATACATCTTGTAACAAATGTTTGTGAACATCTTGCCTTGCTTTTCTGTAGCATCGCAGGATAGGATGATTACCGTAGTGAACCCCTGAAATTAGAAATACATGTTGATAAAAAATGATACTCGAATATAAAAGTATGTAATGTAATATGTCTGGACTTAACCGCAAGGTAGTTGCATATATTTGCTATTTTGCATGTATGAAGAAACAGTAAGTCTGGGTCAGCGTATACGTCGAAATCTAAAGATATTATGCAACTTTTGCATTGAATGCCCCTGTTCGTACCACAGTGAATACTTAGTCCGGTTTGTATTTGATCCGCTCTTGTAGATGTGCCAGAAAGCATAACGGTCTGCTTCAATATCGACGTTGGGTACTGTGTAGCAATAGTCATCTTCTTGCGCATTTTTAGTTACAATCGACCATACAGACAGGACGCAGATTCCGCATTGTTCCCTTTTCCGGTTACTTACTAGATACATAGCAGCAAAGGGCACCATACCGAGCAAAGGACTATATTGCTTAGGGACATCTTTTTCAAAAAACCATACCATAATATTCAGCAAAATAACAGAAGACGTCATTGACTGAAGAAAGATAGCCAATCCGAATATCTTGTTGAAGCACTCCACCATAGCATGACATTTAATTAGTAGCAGCTTAATGAGTCGCAAAAATTGTATAGTCGACTCCTTATTTTGCACTCTATTTCTCATTGTATACACTAACAGACTGCTGGTAGCTTTACATCGGTTTCTTATAACTTTCAGTATGATATTGATGAAAACAGGTATAGCAGTTTGATAAACTACTACGAATCTACAGGACACTGCTACCAGATAGTTGTCTTCGCCTGCGTAGCCTTCCCAGGCGTGCAAGGAAGCAATGAAAATAACACAAAGAATAATTTTCAAAATGTGGACAGTTTTGTTCTCATTACACGTAATCTCGTACCCAGCATCAACTATCGATCTTCTGAAGGACTTGAGGGTGGCAAAAAAGTGCTCCCAGCAGCTTGAGCGTATGAAAGTTATTAACAGAGTACTTATAATCAATGTGTATCTCAGTAAGTTTTGAGTGCAGTGCGTTATATTGAACATGTTAGTATGTTCCAGATATCGTCCAAGGGCTCTCATGTATAGACCAGTTCCAGTAACCACAGTAGCGACGAAAATACGTAAGATAAGTCCAAGCCATTGGACGATTCTTCTTTTGGATTGGTAGATGGGACTTATGCCCAACCAACTGCCTATTTTACAATAAAATAGAAGTAGTCCGATGTCCTTCTCGACACAATCTTTGTTCATTTTTAACCTTTTGCTTTTTTTCCGAAGTGCAAGAATGACAAATGCATTATAAGGTACAACACAGCGCTAACGCTTTCCATTCCCGTACTGTATTAGTAAATTGGTCTTGAATTTTTTATTAAGCTCACTTTGTAATCCATAAACACAATTGAAGTTGATACGTCAACAGTGTTATTGCCGCATTGATAGTATTGGAATACTAAAGATACTTATCTATAACCAAATACCAGACTGGAAAGAAGAAACGTAACACATTGTATGTCACTGTTAAGGTGGGTGGGGTGAGACCAGTGGCGCACGATGATTACGCGAATCTCTTCCATTTTGGTACCTCACTCCAGCATCACATTTCGATCGCTAAGCTGTTGGGGAAGCCCCATCGCACTTACCAGATATATACCAGAGAATATCAACAAACAGCATAGCGGTTGAGGATTTTTATGTTGAACGTTTTTTTCGAAAAACCAGATCATGACATTCAACAAAATTACTGATGACGTCATCGATATGAGAAAAATAGCGACTCCATATATACGATTGAAGTTATCCACTAATCCATCACATTTCGTATATAGCAGCTTCATGAGTCGGATTGCTTGAACGGACACATCTTCACTCTGGAATCTGTCATTCGTGGTATGCAGAAGAAGGCTAGCTATAGCCTTGTAGCGATTCTTGATGACCTTTTGCATCAACTGTATCAAAACAGGAATAGCCAGTTGGTAAGACATTATAAATCTCAGAGTTATTGCTGCCAGATAGCAATCTTCACTTGTATAGAGCTCCCAAGTATTGACAACGCCGATAATGATGAAACAAATGGCAGAAACAAGAACATAAGTTTTGATGCTTTGCTTACATCTGATCTTGAAGCCTACACTACCAAGTAGCTTAGTGAAGCACTCAGCATGTTCGAAGAAATTGTCCCAATAAGATCTGCGGAATGCAGAAAGATACAGGCTGCTCAAAATTATAATGTATCTAAGAACATGCTGAGCAATGTTCGAAGCATTGAATATCTGACTGTGGAGAGGAAATCGATCTCTAGCCCTGGTATACATTCCAAGCACTGTTATGATAGTTGCAATGCAAATTCGTATGGCTAAACCAAACCATTTGGCGAACTTTGTCATTGATTGGCTTCCTGGAACGGTTCCTAAAAGTCTTCCTATTTTGCAATAGAATATCAATATTTGAAGGTCTTTCTCCATAGGTTTGTTAAACATGGTAAAGAGCACTATGCAACTGCAAGGTATTTGCTGTGTAGTATTATGATTCGGACATATTAATTTAGTGACGCTTTTTTCTATTACGTTAGCATGTCACTTTGTAATTGGAATTGCTCCTACATTTGCGCTTTTAATATAATTGGGTTGAATATACAGGGGGTTATTTAAATAAGTGGCCAAACTCCAGAAGTTGACTCTTTGAGTTATTTCAAGATGAATAGTTCACATAAATATAGGTCCAGAAATGCTTCACCAAACCTCTTTATAAAATCGGTTTTTCCTAAATATCGTAATCACTCGCTTTTGTTCAAATATAGCAGTGATATTAAGGACAGTAAGGGGCTAATTTAACCCTAACAAATACCTTTGGCTAAAAATTTGTGGGTCACTGACTTTTTTCAATTTTTCTATTTTTAATCAGCTAGAAAAAAACTTTTTTCTCTCCTGAGTTTCTTTCATATTTCGCTTCGTTTGAGAGAAGGAACATAAAAATCACTTTAATGCATGTTTTTGATAATGAAGCTACAAGAAAGTCGTCTTTCAATTGTTTTTGTTTAGATGATACCTGCTTTCGATTAAATAAATAAACAAAGTATTTGAGTAACGTTATTTATTGTTGTAATGTTTTGTCACTGGCGTTGCACATTGAAAACGATAGAAAATAAAAGGAAATCGAACAGGGAAAACGTCGTTTTAAAACTACACTTAAACCTTTATTTCAATGAACAAATTTTACAGTAAATAACGCGAGAATTATAATAGTTGCTGAAAATGCCCTCCTTCAACCACAATGCAAGCATTAACTCGTCCTAACATTGATTGCCGAACTCGTTGAAATATTCCCGACGGATGTCTTATATGATCACATGAAGTGGCATCCAAAAATTGGCAAGCTGCGCTGCAGTGAGGTAGAGTCCCATCGTGCATAAACCATATTGCTTCTCTTACTTCAGCGGGACATTTTCTAGTAGTTCAGGTAAACTAAATTCCAAAGAATGACGATACACTTGACAATTTAATCTAGGAAGTAAAAAATGAGGTCCAATGACATAATCATCGACAATACCAATCCGAACGTTCATGGAAAACTGTTGTTGATAATTACCTTCTGTGACCGCATGGGAATTTTATTCAGCCAAGATATGATTATTGTGAAAGCTCATAATTGAATTTCTAGAAAAACACTGGATAGAAATCCTGGAAATGCTACCTGTTGTTGCAAACGACTCGTTGGAGAAAATCGGCAGGTAATAACGTTGGAACACGCTGTATGTGGTAAGGATACAGTTGATAATCCCTTACAATCTGCCATACAGCAAAGTGAGAGGTGTTTAATGGCAGGTCTCCCAATTACAGCAACCGACCTTTGAAGGGTGCCTTATTCTCACAGCCTTTCATGTATTCTCACGAATGTTTGTCTATTTGGTATAATGCGATGAGGATATCTTTCTGGATAAATGCGCCTAGCCACTATAGAATTGCCTTGAGCCATTCCATAAACAAAATGCATATCGGTCATTTCGGTGTTTGTAAACCGGACCATTTTCTAATATTACTGATTTTATAGCTTAACACGCTTCAAATAGATACGATCATGACTTACTCACTGCTTTAAGTAAGTTACGCCAAGGTCAGGTTAATTTGAGCAGAAATTGTTTTTCCTTTTATGACACTCTTATTTTTTGTTACCTTTAAAGCATTGCTGTTATAAATTATTACGTTATGCGAGTACTTAACGTTATTTTGTTTTATCGGTATTAGTTTTAAATATGTGCGGAAAAAATCAAGAGATGACTTTCGTCTGATGTTAATTGCTTAACTATTTTTGTGGTTTTAATATTTTATTATGTAATTGTTCCAGGGACATGCAATAAAGTGCGTTTTATTTTTTATCTTGCAAACGAAGCGAGATATGAAAGAAACTCAGGAAACTAAAAAGTTGTGTTTTTGGCTGCCTAATTTGAAAAAAATAGAAAAATGGACCTAAAGTCAGTGGCGCACAAATTATTTGTCAAAGATGTCGGTTAGGGTGTTTTTTGGGACCCCACTGGACTTAATAATTTAATACCACTGCTAAATTTGAACACAATCGACTCGAAGTTGATCAAAATATCTATGAAAAACCAATGTTTTTCTGGATCTATGTTTATACAGGTTGTTTTTAAGGTCGATTCAAAGTCTTGGGGGGGATAGGGCAGACCATTTAGAATCTTTTAAGCCAAAAATACCTTAGCTCAGTCTTACGGTTTTCGAGTTATTCGGGTTTTTTGATTTTTATTGAAAAAAATATGCATTTTCTTCCTGTTATCCCTGAAAGAGGATCAGACTATATAATATAGTTTTTAAATACCTGACAGTGTGACGTTTTCTCAGAAGGTAGAGAAAGAAAAAACAAATTGACTGTAAACAAGTAATAAATACATGTTTTCGTATTTTTGTGATACTGATAATAAGGAACGTGTTTGCGTGCCTGACAAAACTAAATTCCAGAAATTCTTGCTTTATTCCTCTCCAAACAAGTCAATAGTAATTCATGACCTTAAGTCCAAA